ATCTGACGTGCTAATCCCATTATATGAACGGTCATTTATGACAAGCTTAATAAATTCATATGCAGAAGGGACCCCTCAGAATATGATGGAAAAGATAAGTTATGAAAATTCGGAAATCAGTAAAATTGAAGAGAGAATTTTAAAAAATGTAGGTTTTTCGCCAATATGAACTGATATTCCGATCGAACCCAGTACATCCTTAGCCAATAACGTAAAAAAAATGTGTAATATTTCAACCAGAAGAAAACTTTCTGACGAAGAAACTTTATGTATAACTACAATAGAACCAAAATTTTAATCTACTTTTCGACGCTCCATAAAAGATCAAGTAAACCACACAAATGAAAAAAAAGGAGCATTTATCTGATTTAAGAATTAATACTTACAGTAAATCAGAAGGCAACAAAGAAAGATTTATTAAATAATCGAGTCAAAACTCATCATGGTGGGACAGTTATGATAAGAAAACTGAAATACCAAGTAACAGCATTCTTGAAGAAGTACTATCTTTACCTACATCCCCTACCAAACGTCATGACGGCAGTTACTTAAATCGAAAACAAATAAATTCACTTTCATTGTCACCTTGAAATTCAATTTCTCTTACTATAGTAAATGGAAAGATCAATAAAACAATACATAAATTCATTGCAAACGCGATATTGCGACACGATTGCGATTTGACAACCTATTAAATAAAATAGTAGTAAAGACAGAGACGATAGCCAATCTCAATCGGAAAACACAGAAAATTAAACTGATTACGATACCAAGAAAATAATTTCCTGCTAGAAAAATAAGCCCTGCTAGAAATCCATCTAATACAACTGATGAAGCAAATAAATTAACATTTCTAATGACTCGCAAAAATTAACTTATCCCAAGAAAAATTACATCCATTTTATCTCTGAAACTGTAGATTTAAAACTAATAAACAATAAACTACTATCAGATACAGAAGTTATATCGAAAGAAAGATTATTAGATGTTCAACTAAAATTACGAGACGTTATTACTACAAAAAAACTGAAGCCGCTTCATACTTTCACTAGTCGTGAATAATAAATTTAATAACGAAATAAAGCTTAGCGTTTTTCGATCATACTTGAAAAATCTTGCAAACGCTATATCAGTAAAGGAAGTTAACACTACTCGCATTTCTAGAAAAGATGAACTCATTAATAATCTCCCTAGAAAATAAATGTCATCAATTTTATACAAAGAATTAAGTTACCTTCCCTTTACAGTAAAAATTTCTTTTAAGGCATACTCTTATCTAACCCAAGAAGACAGAAATGTTATGTAAATGTGCCGATGTGTTATCAAGATATTTAACTTTAACTTTCGACATTCCCAGAATTTTTCTTAGTGACGGATCAAAAAGATTCATTAATCAAGTATTGACAGAAGTATAAAAAATTCATGGATACTATGTGTAGCTCTCACTAGTGCATATCACCTACAGTCAAATGGTTCGTTAGAGAGAAGCCACGCTATGTTAAACATTTTTTTGAGAACTAACGCTAAAAATAAAAATGACTGGGATGAAATGGTTTCCTTTGCAATGCATAAGTATAACACTTCAGTTCATTTAGCAACAGGCTTTGCACCTTTCGATCTTGTTTTTGGTAGACAGGCACATTCTCTACATCCACTTCCAGACCAATTCCAACTTAAAACATACAGTTCAAATGACAGTGACCTTGCCTGCTGTTTACGTACAATCCAAGCAGTAGCTCGTAATAGACTTCAAATATTAAAGCAAAATACAAATCACGTTATGACAATAAGTCAAAGCCACAAAACTTGGAAGTTGGAATGACAGTATGACATGTGTGCTCAAAAAACCCCCGAAAGGAAAATTAGATAAATTTTATAACGTAATTTTTAAAATTAAAGACTTACATTGTAATTATAATGTCCCATTACAATCAGGAAATAGAAGAATAATTAACAAAGATATTGACAAAGTAAAACGCTGCTACCTATAAAAAAAAAAAATTTAATTATTTTGTTGTTGCAGATTTATCCGATCAATATGTTGACTAAAAATATTGCCCTTCTGTTTCTGCTAACGCTAAGGCCTAGTATTGTAAAAATCGAGAAAGAGATACCTGCAAATCTTTATGACGACATGCTTTCAGTAAATAATCCAGGTATATATCACGAGTACACTAACAAAGTCAGACTAATTCGTACCGAATGTCACGTTACTATTACGTTAGATTTTTGTAGTATTGAAAACCAAACTCAACTACACCATGAACAACTAGATACTGTATTTAAACATTGTACTAGAGTACTTGAAAATCAATAGAGCAAGAATCTAATACCTAGATATACGTTACATAATATAATTTGTTAAACAAAATCAACATATGAAGATTTAAAACTATTTTTTGCATCTGAAATACAAATACATAGTGAAGAAACAAACTCTAACAATATGGTAAACGTTACTCCTAGCCATATGATAATAAGACGAGCACCACTAGAATTCGTGGGGTGGATTTTAAAAAATTCGTCGGATTTATGGATGCAGATGATCGAGACAAAATAAATACGGATATAATTTTTACAACTCAACATAAACAATATCATATTTAGAAGCAAAACAGACTTATATTGTACGCTTTAATCTCGAAAAAATACATATAGAATTAGAGAAAAATGAAAGACGTAATGAAACAGTTACTAAAAAAATTGGTAAGTTCAACTGAAGAAGTATGCTGATTGGATAATGATAATAGAAAAATTGAGTATAAAATCAAAGCATTAGAATGGACTAACTTTTTCGAAAAATCCCTTTTTTTTATACTAAATTCTTATAGAATTCTTATAAGTGCAGTGGAAAGCACGTCACAAGAACACTTACATCCACTCATGATACAAAATGAACAACGATCAAAAATTTGTAATGAAATTAATTTATATAAAAAAGAGCATATACTACCTTGGGACGACTTAATTGTAACACTTAAATGCTTGCATGCACTGTCCAAAACAAACGCAGTAGTAATAGAAGGAAGATTAGCAGTTAAACTTAGTTTTTCGCTGATAGTTAAAGTACAATTGAGTAATTATACTATGCACTCGATTCCAGTTCCGAGAAATTTACACTCAGATTTGAAAGGATGTGTCAGCATTGAGCCCCAACATAGTAACCTGATAGTAAGCAATAATCTTCAAAATTATTCCCGTACCGACGAAAGATTTCTCAATGATTGCTTTAAAAATAAGAAGATTTTATACTGTCGATCAGATATGCCTATTGCTGAAGATAATATAAATAATCCTTGCAAATTCTCTTTATTTATAAGTCCATCAATAGAAGCATTAAAAACTTATCAAATAGCATTATGTAAGTCCACAGAAATTTATTGGATAAGACTACAAATCACCGAACAATAGTTGTACTCTGCATAAAATACTGCGACAATTGCCAAATATTGTGCGAAAATAATCCTTCAACCACACAATCAACTGAAATTAAATTAGGAGGAACGGAAATACTAACGATCAACAGTAATCGTATTGCTAATGCTCCTGGCTACACCCTGTATCGAGTAACAACACTGGAATTGACAGACTTACTACTATAAGTTGGAGATTTCCTACAGTTTGGAATTTATTAAACCTTCTTGATACGACAACAATCAAAATCGGCAAAAATAACTTCACTCTTAACCTACAAGAGAAAAAAAAACCGAAATAAATAAATTGGCAGAATCAAATTACGCAATGGTGCTAAGTAAAATGGAGGAAACTTTAGAAGATATAGCAATAAAAAAAAAAACAAGTAAATTATCGAAAGACAGCGATAATTTTTGGAAACCTAATAGTGAATTTAACTATTACAATAGTCATTGCTACAATTTCATTAACATGCATTTTAAAATTTAAAAAGAAATCAGCTAATCTACCACGATTAGTATACAGAGCTCAATTAAGTAGTTAAAGTGAATCTCAAATTTTTATAACGCAACATAATACACCAAAAAGAGTACGAAAAATTGTGAAAAATCCAGCACCACTGATTTCTGACAAAACAACAGATGACTACTTGTCGATGCAAAGTAACTTCTAATTTATCAAATAGCTGACCAAAAACAGTAAATGAACACCCTTGTCAGAAGTATTACATCAATTCTTGTAAAAAAAAAAAAAAAAGAAAAACATTCCGAGTTGATTCAGACGAATCATATTATAAGTAAAAATGCTATTCATTCGTCAGATTTATACAATACGTACTGTATATATACTTGTGTATGCTTATATCACATATCACAAGTGGACTTATACGTCACTTATATGCGCGCGCGCGTGCACGCATGTGTGTGTGTATAAGCTTCAAGGTGAATATTTTATACTATGCTGACGTCTAATGCAACCAGCCTTGTTGTAAGAATGCATGTACGTATTGAAATTATACTATTTCTAATAATGTATACAAATTAAAAAATTGTAATTGACAAATTGTTTCATTACATTTATAATTGATTGTAATATCACTAAGATAATCAAATGCAAAATTTCTAAACTTATTTGTTACACTTAAACTTGTATTTGGTGTTTCTTTTATTGCTCATGCGAGCTGGCATCATTGCTGATCCAAAAATTTCAATCGCACTTGTCAGAAAAATGCGATTGGTACTGTTGTATTGTTATTTCCTAATACCTACACTGAAAGAAGGTCGCGACTGCAGGTTCCTACACAACAGCGATCTTACTGGGGGCATCGATTAGCGGCAGCAGAGCTCGTGAATTTCGCACGCGCGACGTGCTGTGCCAGGTGGTACCTATAACCTCAAAGTGCTTCGTTTACAATTTGAAAATCTTACACTAAGCCTTGCGAGCACCTGGCTGAAACAAACATTGAGTATTTGCTCTTCCAAAATGTAGTACTATTTCAAAATTTTATTAAGTTTGGCCTAGAAAAGTTTAAAACGCGATGTATGTAATTTCTTTACTACAAGAATAAAAAACATTGCAATAGTAAGTATATAAATAAAAAGAATTTTTATTTGTTCTGCGTACATCTAGGAACATTAATAAAAATTAACAACTAATATAATCATCGTTTTTTAGGAGGGGGCATAAGTTCTTGATCGTCGGAAAATCTGTATTTGGCTATGAAGTCCAAAAGTTTTTCCGACGTTACAGGGTTGAAAATAGACGCACACACTGATTTAGCTGTAGCATAGGAATTCGGAAACGATTTATCAGTTCGTTCTCTCATAAATATCCACTGGTTGTTTTCATATTTGCATTCTATTATTTTGTTATTCAATTCCTTTAATTGTTTTGTTAATTTTATTTTATCAAATGGAACATCCAACTGACCAACATATAGTTCACCAATCGACCGTCTGAGTATCCCTTCCCCAGACTCAACAACTATTTTTAACTTAAAATCCATGGAATTCAAAAATACTGGTTTCCATTTTAAAACGTCTAGACATTGGCCTGTTTTATAAGGTTCTTTGGCTGGTTGGAAAATCAGTCCATCTGGTTCATGAGTTAATTTTTTTGCAAACTCATTACTAAGAAGCTTAGCCGCATTAATTACAGGCCAAAATTCCTTTAATCTAACAGAAAAAGGTTCTTTTTCTCTGATAATTCGGCCTTCTTGCATTGCTCGTTTTCTTCCAGCTATTACTTCATTTTCAATAATATGATAGCGATTTGGATGAAAATTCAACTTTTTAACATCCTTACCATCGTACATAAGAACATCATAAACAAGGTACCTAGGATATTCTTTACCATCAGTTTTATCTATTACCATTTCCTGAAACGTAAAGAAAAACATTATTGAGAAATTAAGTAGTAATACATCAATACAATACAAAGGGTATGTTATATAGTAATTCAGGTATTCTTTTGAATAATTTTGTATAATACTCTAAAAAAATATAATAACGATTTTTTTTGAATTTTCATAAAGAAACACAACAAAACTACTTGAAAAATCGTATTTATTTCGTGCATTAGAAAATCTTAAGAAACTCTAAATTTTAAGAAATTTTGCAATTAATAATTTTATGACAATACCTCAAAAATCATCTGCAAATACTATATACTCTTATTCAGAGATGAAATTAACGACGCAACGTGGCTAGTAAAAGTTATTCTATACCTTTAACTTACTACTTAACTATGAAAGAATAATGATCAAATGGTGTTTTAATTTTCTATTGAAAACATCGTAACATTAGAACAGACTTGTTGTTTTAACTAATTTTAACAGTGTATTTTCCAAGATTTGAAAACATGACCTTCAAGGTATTTGAAAGTAAGAGCTCATTGATTTTTGTGACTACTTTTACTTGCCATTTCAAAAGTCATCAATAACTATAAAAACAGTGAGATGGCAAATAAGACCTTATAATTAAAAAAATGTTTCTGCCCACTCCTTCTACTAAATTTTGTGGTGAGAAGAAGGTAACAATAAATAATTGCCTACTATAAAAATGAGTAACTTCAACCCTTATAATCAGCATTGATTATAGAGGTTGAAATATTAGTAAAACACAATTGATGGTCACTTAATCAATATTTATTTGAATCATGCGGAGTTTCAGCTCTATGTGCAATAAAATGCCACAGCTATCTTCAGGTGCTGTAATATGTTAAATTTTTATTTAGAATACATTACTGGAATGGACAATACAACAACCAGAAACAACGAACTTACAAACAATATGTTAGCATCAACACATGTTAACGCTTCGTTTATACGACGTCAAATAGTTGGATCAAAAGCCACGTGCAACTCACAAGTACCTTAAAAAATGTGAACAGATGTATGTTGTCAAAGACCGTGAGTGTTTCTTAAAGGTATCTGTATATATTTTTCTTCATATGCACATTCTATTGATAGAATTACTCGTAGTAATAGTAATAATCATTTAAGGAAATACTGTTCTTAAATAAATATCTTTAATGTCAATAATTTCAACATTATTGAAATTAAAATTGTCTCCACTTTTATTATGGTATTTAACCAATGCAGATTTTGTATTAATATTTTTTTTAATTTTTCTGATGTTCTATCATTCAAGTTTCTCACATTCTAGAAGAGCAACCGACGTATTTAACCATACAGACACTGCACGATATTTTATAAACAACCTTAGCTCTTTATTGTGACTAATATCATCTTTTCTTATTCTAACTTGAAATTTTTATTTATTAATAGATTTAAAAATTAATTTTATATTGTAAGCTTTTCATCCATTCTTTAGTTGTTCACTAAATATAAAACGGTAAGGTTAAGTAACTAGTTCTATTGTGGGATGATTAATGTTACTCTAGTTATTGTTTGAATTTATGATGTTAATTTCTTTACTTATAGTTTTGTCAATAATTTTTGGGGAAAATTAATATTTTTGGAGAATAATATTAATGAGTTTCTAATTTCGTTTCTAAAATTGTGGATACAAAGTTATTACTAAAGTCTACAAGGGTGTTAATTGCTTATTTTTTGTGTGAGTGGATGGTAAGAGTGAAAATTTCGATATCTACTCAAATATGTTGGTTTTCGATGCTTATTTGTGATTATACTACTATATATAAAATCACGTGTATTTATGAGTGACAAAAATATTGTCTTGTCACTCCGTGCCAACAGTTGCGTAAATGTGTCTAAGTGAGATAACGCGCGCGCCAACTATTACGACGACTTTTACTCTATCAAAGTACTTGTACTATATTGCCGATGAGTTACAAATGCTGGCCTCAGTTATTTTCCACCTATTATACAGGCTTCTATTAATTACGTGATATTAACATTTTGTATTATGAACACAGAACTGTATTAAATTTTTTATCATTACTGTGTGTTAAAAATATCTGTAATGTTTCACTATATTTAACAAATAAAAATCAGTAAATATACCATTACCTGATTGCCTCTAGTAACATCTTAACTCGATATCCCTGTAATCCTGGAGAGCTCGTCTCAAGCTCATCGACTTTAAATTTATTTATATCGGAGTGGTAGTCTATAATGGAAGTCAAAATTTATAATAATGAACGGGGCACAAAGTTTTGACGGCTGTTTGCCACCTTGATCTAGCGTCTGAAACAATTTTTCAAGTAAAATAAGTGTACACAACAATTTTGAAAAACAGCTGATATGCACCTTATTTTACCAACTATACCTATGGAAGATAATACATATGGTGTTCATCTTCATTAATGATGCACTTTACGTTAACAAGTCTATTACATAAAAAAAGGGACACAGTATTGTTTGAATTAAAGATACCGTATTTACAGAGTAGAAATTTATCTTTAAGTAGTAAAAATAATACCTTGCTCTTATCGTGTAGCAATAAGTTTAATAATATGTTACATGTCAATTAAATAATTCGATTGTGGACAAGTAATGAGACTGCAGTGTGAAAATTTGTAAAAAGTATAACTAGATACCATAATAATTTAGTGTTCAGACAAAATAGTTTTATTTTTAATTTCGCACTGACTCATCGGCCCCAGCTAAGGGTAACTGGAACTACAATATAAGTAAATTGCATCGATTAAAATATTAAGAGAGTTCACTCGTACCTAACCTTTTTGACGCATAAGATCAGCAGTATTGTAACCTGCATGACTATGTACAGAGATGTAACGCGACATACTAACGGTAGCTGTTGAAGGAGAATTATTTTATTCACTAATTTGTTGCTTATTCTATAGTCCATGAGTGAAGATGAGACTATAGCTATGTAGTCACCAAGTTTTTAGTTATTTTCAAAAAAGTTTCCCATCAAATCTTGACGTCGATTATTCAGATATTGCAAGTTATGTATCAGAACAGTACAGATTCTCATAAAACTGCACGTTAAAAGTTCAATAATAAAATTTTCAATATTTCACTTTATAAGCCATAAAGGGACTTGAAATTTAAATCGAAGGTTTTTCATACACTAATTAATCTCTGTTTAAAGTATTATAAATATATTGACGTTACTTCTCTTAGCGAGTGAACTCCCTTAAGTAATAATTAAGTTTTCACTGTGGTCCTGTCTCTCACGCCAAGTCAATCGGCCGTAGACTGCGAGACAGAATGGTGCTCGCTCTTTTCTTCGAGAATCCGACACGGTAACACAGTAATAATATTATACTGATTTTCTTTTGAATAATTTTATCTTTTCGAATAGATCTTTTTTTTGTGTTGCCTTATCTGTCCAGTTCAATTGCAATTAGCATCATTTGTTAGCTGTATCGTCTCCTTTTCTTATCTGTAATTAATCTTTTGTTATATTCTATCGTATCATGCAATTGGCTTTATAAAAGCTGTATCTTTTTATCGAAGCCTTAAAGCTTGTATATTTCGTACATGATCATCTTAAATATCATAAGGAGCCTCTTTTAAATATTAAAATTGAAAGTTATTTAATTATAGTTTCCATGCTTCCACTCACGTAAAACCTCTTGCTTACGAATTGCCACACTTCAATGACTGACTTTGTTGTTCTATAGTGAGGCAACTATAAAGTTTTTGCTTTTTAGTCAAGGCGACATTCGAACATTTGAATTGAGTTATAGTGACTAGAGGAAACTTCACAGGATTAAAGGTAAAGCACAGTAAGAAATTTATGTAGTATACTCTTAAAATAGTAATCTATATAGTCATAAAAGCAACGATAATATAAATTTAGTTATGATTCAGCAATTATTTGGTGCTCTTGTAATAAGTAACTTAAAGAAAAAATTCTAAAAAGGTAAAGTATCCTGTGTACAACATTTGTTTATCTTCTGTCTTTGTCGAATATTTGCCCTTTTTAAAGGAAATGCGTAATTTCATTTTCTCGAATTTCTTATTAAATAACATGAAATATAGTTGTCCTTCATGTTAACATGAATGAATAATTCACAAAAAATCAGTTAAGGACCGATAATAGCTTGTGCTTACTTATTGGTCCATAAGTAATCGCTTATAAATTCCTTATTTACCTTTCCTATTGTCAAGATTAGGTCGAGATGGAGGATTAATTTGGGACAAATTTTTTTTATTAATTAAATTAATAAGTTTTTTTATGTAATGCTGTGTAAAGATTCAGGGATATCTATTACTATCAAAAATTTTTTGAATTATTTAATTAATACAGACTATATTAACAAGGTCGAGAGGGCACTCGGTGACAGTATGTACTACAATCGGCTCAATAGTCAAAAAAGGGCTAACCATCTCACCCGTATTATCAACTCCACAAAATAACTGGTCGATGTATGGGACAATAGGGGTGTCTTTGATACCGTTGGGATTGGCCGGCCTGATGTCAATCACCTGAGTGGCTGGAACTTGGCCAAAGCGTACGGCCTTATTAAGGTACACAAGCCTGGGCTCCCCGTAAGAATCATTATTTCCGCTACTGGTTCTCCAACCTATACACTCGACAAATGGTTTTCGAAATTTTTCAACAAGTTTTGCAAAAGATCACCCAGTTCCTTAAAAAATTCGTATGATCTAAAATCAACGCTAAAGGATCTCATTATTCCACATAACTATCTATTGGTCTCTTTTGACGTGGTTTCCCTCTACTCAAACCTCCCCTTCTCTCTCATCAAAAAAAGTGTTGAGGAGAAGATTGGGTGTACCCTCGACAGCTTGCATTTAGACAGAAAAGAATTTCTTGATGGTTAAGACTTCCTAATCAACTCTAACTATTTTACTTTCAACAATCACACGTACAAACAGACATGTGGCACTCCCATGGGTAGATGTACATCACCTTGGATTGCAGAAATCGTTTTGGAGTCCCTGGAGAAATCCGTGTTGCC